ACCAGTAGATTTTGAGAAATCTCAAAAAAACTACAAAAAAAAATTTTTTCAAATGTGGTTTTCTTCGAATTACTTTTAAACGGCTTTACTGATCAATTTCAAAAACTAATCAGCTCTTAACACCAAAAAACCACGTCGATCGCCGCTAGCCTGGTCAAAATCGGTTGATTCGGTCGTAAGTTATCGTTGTCGAAACAAAACCGAAAAAAATATTTTTTCGAAATTACATCAAAATTCCCACTTCAATCGATAAAAACTTAAAAATTCTTTATGAGGCCTGAAAAACTGCGTCGAATGCCATCAACCAGGTGAAAATCGGTTTATTCATTCAAAAGTTATTGCGGTTTTAAAATTTAAGAAATAGTGTTTTATTAAACTTTTACCAGATTTTTGAGCTCGAAGAGCTCTGAAACGTAGAAAGTGAAATTTTGAGCGCTTAAATAAGAAATTAGCGGGAAGTTGCACGGATGGCCTTCAAGGTCTACCGTTTTCCTTATTTTTTTTTTTTAACATATTTAAAATTAAGATTGTCAATTTTTTGTTTTACATAATATCAATTAATCTTTTGAGAAACAAAATTAATGCTTTTAAAAATGTTTTCTCAAGTTAAATAATTAATTTCAATCGACAAAGTCAATCATCCGGATACACCAATTATTAACAGGCTGATAAATCGATTGATCCAACTAGTAACATACCGTTGCATCAATTATTGACACCCTTAATGCGCATGCGTCACTATCCATCTGATCTAAATACAATGTCAAGTCTGAAAAGAGAGGTTACAGCGCCGTATGAATTCACCTGTCAATATGAGATGCAGTCTATATTCGGTCTACCAATTATTGACACCAATTATTTTATAATTAATAACTATTTAGTTTAATGTAAATATCCAATATTGTTAATTTTTAATATTCAATTTATTTCTTTAAAAAAATGTGTAATCTGATTAGTTTAAAAAATAATTAAAAATCAGCTGTTGATTTGAGTGTTTACCTAACCGAAATAGTTAACATATTTTACAGTGACGAGTTGTATCAGAATACTGGAGTAAACTTTAATATTTTAATTAATGAATATCATATATTTTTCTCAACTATTAATTTTTTTTTAATTCCTAAATTATAATGATTGTATAAAAAAATGAACGATTGTTATTAATATTGTAGATAATTAAAAAAGATTTAAAATAAAATAGGCTGTCAATAATTGTATCCCTATCACTAATTGGTGCCTTTATCTTCGTATACATTTTTTTTAGGAAACTCACATGAATGCTTTATAATTAGTGCCAATTTTTTGGACATGAACATCATATTTTGTATCAATGTAAGGCTCGGCTGTGCAATAAGTATTCGTTAGAGCTGCAAGCGATGCCAAATCTGCGAATTCTTGGTTGTTTTCAGCTCTGGCTTTTCCAGTACCACCATGAGCATGGCCAACTTTGACTACAGCTGGATATCTAGGTGCAGATACCTACAACATTAATAAAAAAGTAATAATATTATATTTTTTAAATCGTTTGCACCTTTTCGTTACACCCAAAGACAAGTATGAGAACTACGACTATAAGATATGGGAAATTGTAGGAAATTTCTTATAAATGTAAAAACAGTTCCTATAATTATGGGAATACTACCCATAATAATATAATTTATTGTTTCAGACAGGATACAATCCTCAATACAATTAGATTATTTTCAATGAATAAAAAAAGTTACATAGATTGTTTAGTGAACAGGCCCACTCGCTAGTAATTCGCCACTGGTGGGCTCCAAGAAAGTCATGAGCCGCACCTGACGACCGCTCGTTCCCGCTTATTTCAGCCAACCAGAATATTCAACGCTTTGAATTTTCTGACGCTTGCGCAAACCGAGTTCCTCTGACGTCACGAGGATGCCAGTTGTCTCGAATTTTACTATCGGCTATCGGTGGCGACATCGATAACACGAATTTTCTGATTGGCTGCTTCACTCCACTGACAGAAACTGACCAGAATGACGACGCATTATTATTTTTATCTTTAGTAACCACGTTTTGACTATTCGCACCGCCATTCCGCTATATTAATGCTTTTTACGCTTATGAAGTCCGCAATTGTTAATTAAATAACTCAGTAAATTTAACTATTTGTGTTTGATTATTTCAAATCTGTTTCAGATTAGTTTTTGAAGTTATACTTCTTTTGGCGCGATGGAGAAAAATGATAAGAGTGAATTTTTACGATGCGCGCGCATGCACACCGACACCAGAATTCTACATCGTAAAGTTAGTTCTAGGTGGCATGAAAATAGATAACTATGTTCAAGTTGTATATTCCAGTATTTTTATATTTAGAACACGTGTTTCGTAACAGTACAATTAAACAGTGTGAATAAATAAATACTATTTTGGTGTTTATATTAAATCAATTTCATATACGATGGTGATAGTATTTACTAATAATTTATTAGTCTATCTATATATATTGAATATTAGTGATAAAACTGATTTGAATAAACTGTTTTGAATGCATTTATAGATTTGAGGTTAATTGTCGGTATGTATAATTTATTTACATCGCTAATTAAAAATTATTACATTATTATCTAAAAAATATTTTTTTTTTCGTACTGCTTTATTTATGGTACCTATATTAACACATTTTATGTATAAATAAAAAAAATTAATAAATTTTCTATACTTGTTTATATTAACCTTAAATGCTGAGTGTTTATACTATCTTTGATCTTAACTATTTGTTAAAATTTGATTTATTGATATTTTAATTATTTTTAGTAGATTTTATAAAAATCTAACTATTGCAGCCGTCCTCATGGCGCAACTTTTAAAAAATTATGCCATTTTCTGACTCAGTTTGTCGAGCTGAGTCTGAAAATATATATAGTTCAAAAGTTTATATATATATATATATATATATATATATATATATATATATATATATATATA